AGATGCCATGTTTCTAGAGGTGTGCCTTTCTCTTTGTCAGCTGGTGGGACCAAGGAGATTCCTGAAGAGCTCCAGGGTTCTTAGTCACATGACCATGTTCCTCTCTTAATTAAGAATTGATAAGTAAATTTATTGAATATTTATAGGTAAACATTTAGGCATATGTAATCAATACTCTGGTATGGGATACATTTAGGAAGCATTTTTATTTACATCTCCCACTATTCCTATAAAATATATCTGGCAGAAGAATTTCTTGTTCTGTTTAGGATTAAAAAACAGGCTGCATCAGGGTTCTTTTGGGCATTCTTAGGCAATAGAAAGTCACATGGTCATTTTAAATTGTGTTTAATGCATTCAATCCCATGTCACAATCAAAACTTAGGACTTTGTTTAAAGTTAAGTCTTACCCTTTTCCCTACTGAGAAGTCATGTGCAGGTAGAAAGCCAAGGTAGGGGATGGTCTTTCTCTCCTTGCTCCTGGCAGTTTCTGATCCTTCTAGAGTTAGGATGGGAGAAGGCAAGAGAAGTGGGGAGGGGTGGGAATGTTCTTATTTCAGTGGTGGAGTTGTAAGCTGGTTTCCTCCTGCTTTCTGGACCTGGTAAACATTCAAAGCAGACCACATTTTGCAGGGGCTGTTGTGGGTTCCAGGGAAGTTGCACCCATTGCTAGTGATGTCTCGGCCCACAATTCCTTTGATTCGGGCAAATGTGCTCTCCATTGGAGCAGCCCCCTCAGCCCTAGGAACCCAGTGTTCCCCTCTGCTTCTCCTCTTCTCAGGTCTGTCTGCACCAAAGGTGCCCTCATACCAGCCCCTCATGTTTGGTTCATGAATCTGGTCCACGAGGAAATGCGCGCACCTGCGCGTGTACGCACACACACACACACACACACACACACACACATACACACACACTCTTGCCCTGGACACACTTGGAGCAACAGCAGCAGTCTTCACTCTGCAGCCAAAGCTGCTTGCTAACCCCTCACTTGCCTGATTTCCCAGTTTCCCAGGAGAGTCAGACCACTATTATTCCTACACAAGGACATTCATTTGCTTTCCGATGAGTCGCACTTATGGCCCTCTCTCTCTCCCTCTTTTTTTTTTTCTTTTTTGAGACAGTCTCGCTCTGTCGCCCAGCTAGAGTGCCGTGGCATCAGCCTAGCTCACAGCGACCTCAAACTCCTGGGCTCAAGCGATCCTCCTGCCTCCACCACCTGAGTAGCTGGGACTACAGGCACTTGCCACCAGGCCCATCTAATTTTTCAATTCTTTTTTGTAGAGATGGGGTCTCCCTCTTGCTCAAGCTGGTCTTGAATTACTAACCTCAAGCGATCCTCCCACTTTGGCCTCTCACAGTGCTAGGATTACAGTCATGAGCTACTGTGCCCAGCCTGGCCCTCTCTCTTGATATAAGGTGACTCCCAATCTTTCACTTTGGTGGGAATTAAGTGAGAACACATCGTCCTTTAAAAAAAATCCTCCAAATGTCTTCTCTCTCCGTGTCACAATATCTTCAATGTGATCTAGTATTTCCTTGAAATGTAGCACCTTATCATTTCTTACTTAGTGCCTTAGCCAATACTTTAGTTTGAACATCCTATAAGCACATCATGGGATTTTTGTTTGAAATTCTAATATCAGAAATTTGTTGTTTGGATGAATCATTATTTCACCTTTAGTCTCTGCACTTCCCCTGTACACCACAATCATGTGATTATACTCAGGAAACATGTGCTACGAAAGAACAAACTTTCAGGCTTTCCGCCCAGCTCTGCTTTTTGAAGGGAACCAAAGGATTCTCTCCCTCTTAGTCAAGCAGACACTGAAAGAAACTCTTGGAACTTTTCCAACTGGTAGCCCAGGAAAAGGATCAGCAACCCTAGGACCTAGGGGGCACACAAGTCTTACCCTGCCTGGAGATGGCAGGAAGGGAACAGGACACCCAGACACACAAGTGGAGGATCTTGTCTGTGGCACCCCCAGGCTATGCCAAGAGTGTAAGTGTCCTGCAGGACTACTAGAAGAGGCTATTGCACTCAGCATGCTTAAGGACTGGAAGAAAGACTGCAACAGGCTGGGGTAGGGAGGCCGGATATCCCCGAGGAATCTGGAGCCAGGAGGGCTGACTCTGGATGAAGGCGGGGAGCAAGGGAGGCTACTGAAGCTGGGGCAAAAGCACATTAGCTAAGGCCTTCACAAGGTGGACCCCGGTCTGTCTTGGCAGTCTCATCTCCTTCACTCCGGCCACGCAAAGCCATCTGCCATTTTCTGAATATGCTGTACCCTTCCAAAGCCTCATATTTTACATATACCCCTTCCTCAGGATGCAATACCCTCCTCACTCCCAACCCCCCTCCATTGCCTCTATTTAACCATCAAGGCCTAGCTTAAGTCTAAGTTTCTATTAAGCCTTCCTGCTCCTTTTGCCATCTGCTGCACCATTTTACACATGCCTCAGTTCCAGCCCTCACTGTACTATGTTGTACTTCACTCACTTGCTCTCCCTGCCCCCAAGAAACAGAGAGTGTCTCAAAGACAAGGACTGTGTCTTATTCCTTTCTGTACTCCCACCACCTACCACTGTACTTCAGTGCTGTAAGGGCTTGTATTCATTCTCTACTGCTGTGTGTAACAAGTTACCATACATTTAGCAGTTTAAAACAATATACATTTATTGCCTTTCAGTTTCTGTAAATCAGAAGTCTAGGCATGGTGTGGCTGGATTCTTGGATCAGAGGATCGCTGAGCTGAAATCAAGATGTTGGCCAGGGGTGTAGTTCTCATCTGGGGCTCAGGGTTCTCTTCTAAGCTCACTGATTACTGGCAGGATTCATTTCCTTGAAGCTGTAGGACAGATGTCCCATTTTCCTGCTAGCTCTTGGCCAAGAACCACTCAGTTCCTAAAGGCTAATCACAGTTTCTTTTTTTTTTTTTGAGACAGAGTCTCACTGTGTTGCCCAGGCTAGAGTGAGTGCCGTGGC